AACACAGATAAGGTAGATTATGACACTAATTTTGGAAAGATGAAGACTAAGGATTATGAACTGGCTTTTTCAAGGCCTTGGATGTTGTCTTTATTGGAGAGTGACTAGGATCTCACCCAAATCCATTTCTGGGAGCAATTGTTTAAAAGGTGAATTTTGAAATGTGAGTTACTTTGTGTAATACACACAGTTTCCAGGAAGATCAAGACCTATGTGTTTCAAGTCCTACCGTTCTTGCACAAAGCTGTTCTCTGAAACTATCCTTTATTCTTGGTCCCCCAAGCACACTGGGCAAAATGCTACTATCGTAGCAGCACATCTGCAGTGACTTCAGTCATATTTCTTCAGTATAAAGTCGGCTTCCAACTGACTGTGTGCATGCATCCCTTATCATTTCAAGTTACCACAGAAACCTCACAGGCCACAATTAGCTGAGGACAGGACCCTCTGCTGCCTTCCAGCTTGCATAGTCATTTACACTGACTGTCTACGAGGTTCTTCACAATGTATCTTTGCTTCAGAAACTGACAGCTTATCCATTGTGTGTGCGTTTTCAGCAGTTTTCCAATTTGAGTCATGCTGAGGGTGTCAGTGAGTGAAGGGAGTGGGTGCCTAAATATCCCCATTTGACATTTACCAAATGAGATTTTATAGTTGTTTCTGAAAAAAATAAAAATAAAAATTACTCATACTAAAAAGGGGGCTTGAAAAAAATTGAAAACAGAATTGAAATTATTTGAAATTGTAGGAACAAAATATTCTGGTCCAAAATATTTCTGGGAAAATACCGTTTTAGTGTTTTTATTCTGTTAGAAATGCCAAATCCATTCCTTATACTGCTTTGATGGCTGAGGGACAAGGGTATAAAATGCAGCCCAGAATGGAATGCTTTGTTAAAAATTCCTGTTGGTCCCATTCTTCACTCTATGTGGAGCACCTTGTTCTGACTTCATAAGCTCTCCGAAGTACATTCTTTCCCAATTCTAGGAACTACATGCGCTGAGTTTCTTGACAGAAAATCACGTCAGAGACATTTTTACCGTAGGTTATTCTACTAAGCAAATAGGGTCATGAAGTAAAAGAATGGCCACAAATGGGTGACATGCAGGTCTTCCTGGCAGAGAATTTTAGGTGGAAACCATTTGCAAGACTTACATATTGTGATGAGATCTGAGAGGCCTGTTTTGTAATTGCACTAACCAAAAAAACTAATTTATGACTTTATCTGGTGACTTAGTTATTTGGGATTTTCTAAGAATGAGTAAGGTGTTAGGAACCCTTCATTCTTAAGTGTGAGATATGAATCTCCAGGACTGCTTTCATGAGACAGAACTTTTGCACAAAGGATTTGCAAACCTAATTCATAGTATCATAGAATGGTTTGAATTGGAAAGGACCTTTAAGATCACCCAGTTTCAACTCCTCTGCTATAGGCAGGGACACCTCCATCTAGACCCAGTTGCTGAAAGCCCCATTCAGCCTGGCCTTGAGTGCTTCCAGGGAAGGGGCATCCACAACCTCTCTGGGCATCCTGTTCCAGTGTCTCACCACTCTGACAGCGAAGAATTTCTTCCTAATATCTAATCTAAATCTACCCTCTTCCAGTTTAAAACCGTTTCCCCTCATCCTTTTGCTACATGCTCTTACAAAAAGTCCCTCCCCAGGTTTCCCCAGTTCAGTACCAGTACCAGTTCAGGTACTGGAAGGCCACTATAAGGTCCCCCTGGAGCCTTCTCTTCCTTAGGCTAAAGAGCCCTAGCTCTCTCATCCTGTCCTTGTAGGGGAGGTTCTCCACCCCTCTGATCATCTTTGTGGTTCTCTGGACCCAATCTAACAGCTCTCGAATTGGAGTCCCCAGAACTGGATGCAGTACTTCAGGTGGGGTCTCACAAGAGCTGAGTAAGGGGGCAGAATCACCTCCCTCAACTTGCTGGCCATGCTTCTTTTGGTAGGGATATGGTTGGCTCAGATTATGGATTCACTCAAGTTGAAGTGCTAGATCCAAGGTTTTCAATAATTCCAAATGATTTGAGGCATTCTTGATTTTGTTTCTGTAAAGACACCTGGGATGGAATTTATGTGGCAAAGCTGAGCATCCAAACTCCTGCAGACTCACTCCTACAACATCATTTCCAACTGCTGCTTCAGAACAGTATGGGATGTTATATGGATCCCACACTGTACAGGGATGTCTTGGATACCTTAAAGGCATCTCAGGTGGCTCTCAAAATCTTACAGCTTATGCATATGTTATCACAGTATATCTGTTACTGGACCAAGAACTTCTAGTATGATAATAAGGAATTATATGAACAGGAGAGATGTCATGCTTGCAGAAAGGAAGCCTGGTTACAACAGCATGTAGCAGGTTTTTGTATGTTGCCCAGTAGAAGCTTGGCACTTAGTTGTTTTCTTTAACAGCAAAAGCAGATTAGCTGCTTTAGCAGCTCATCAGAGAAAACGCACAAGAGACAAACTGTGTGATCCAAAAACAAAAAAAACAAGGGGGTAGTTTTCTAACCTGATATTCTTCTGCTTTATCACATACATAACAGCACTTTTTTGCATCTTCTTTGCAGGTTCCCAAGAGAGCAGCTGCTTTACTGTAGTCTCTGCTTTCTTATGATCCTGGTGCTTTTAGCTGTTCTCTGCACATTTCTTTTTCAGAGTGACATCGTTTCCACATGTTATGAAGCTGCCAACTTCTGTGAAACCTTTCTGACAGACAGTCGAAAAGAAATGTTCAACTTAGGTCATCTCCCAGACTTGATTTTTGGGTCACGCTTGGTCATTTATGATGCTTTTCTCTCTTCTAGTTTTGCTAGCATTCAGGTCGGAAGATTTTATCAATCAGATACTTAACTGTGCATAATTTATTTTAATATCTCACTTGTATAGTTATTCTATGAATTAACTCCTAATGAGCTTATAAAACATAACAAGTTAGTGGGACTTGTGATCTCCTTGGTGTTGCTTATAAAATTTCAAGGAATTGAACAGAATTTCTTTATTACACGTGAGAGTTGTATCTTGATTATAGAACATTGCTAAGGTAGTAAATATCTGTTCATAGTCTTAAGTCCTTTGGAGAGATTTTCAGGTTTAGTTTAGCTAGATGCATGGTCTTATACTCGCACACACTCGATGTGTGTCCATTTTGTATCTCAGTGAGATCCCTGCGTATGAAAATGAACTTTTCTACACAAAGCTACTTCATCTGCATATAACCTGAAAAACTGTTTGCTTTGATATGAAGAGGCAACTTTGTCTGACAGCCATTTTGGCCAGATCTGAAAATGTGTCTCACTGCTGTACTGTATTTTTGGTCCTGCTTGTGTGGCTGCTGTGAAGACAGAGAGTAAGTCTGTTACTTGCTCAGACAACAACTTGGGGATTACCTACAGAGAACAGCTTCTCAAAAGCTACAAAACTGCTGTACTGATTCTAGAAAAACATCTGGAGGGTCACGCTCTGCAGTGTGGCCCAGGGAATGTAACACTGTGTGAATATTTGGGTTAGTGCAAGGTTACTTTACAATCGGACCAAGAACTAATTGGTCTTTCTGCCAGCTATGGATAGTTCATCCACATTTCCTTGCTGTAACTGAGGTCAATACAGCATTTTGTCATGACCTCAGCTATTCTGGTAAGGAATTTCAGAGCTGAGTTTCCTTGTACACCAGTCAAAAAAGTAGCCGATAAAACAGTAGCTGATAAAACAGCATGTGCCCAGTTTTGCATCCTATGCTGTACATTAGCATGGAGAAGTAGCTAATCAACTGTACCAAAACTAATAGCTCTATCTGCTTTATTAATACAGGAACTGTTTATTTTCACCCAGAGTACAAGTTAACAAAGAAATATCTCAGGGATTATTTTAAAGAGGCCATTCTTGCTATTCTTGCCATCAGATGGCTCACAAAAGAATAATGCAGTCAAGGTTAACAATCCTTATTATATTGTTTCAGTGGATGAAACAGCTTGCCATGACCTCTTATGTTTATGTGTACGAGGATCTGAATATGTTTATAATTCAGTGGTATCCTATTTAGAAATGCCAGCATAGTATAGCACTTTTGATACTCTGAATAATTTTGTGCGGAAGAAAAAGCTATCAAATTGGGGTATTAGATTGTTTAATTATTAATCTTCATAGATTATTGTACTTCTTTCTTTTTTTTTTTTTTTCTTTTTTCTTTTTTCTTTAATTTGGTCCATCTCTGTTTTATCTCCTATCAAATACTGGTAAAATTTTCTGTGTGCTACCTCGACTAAGTAGAATTATTTTGTCTTTAAAGAAAGAATCCTCTTAAAGTTTCTTTAAGAAACTTTATTTTTGAATTCCACATTAAAATTTTACTTCAGAATTAACAAAAGTGTTTAGTTTTCTAAGATATGATGCACACTCACAATCTTGTCATGCACTCATGCTAGATTTTAAGTGTGTATCTGAGCAGTGTTAATGATATTGTACATCCATGTGAATTTAGAGAACTTTAAAAATGTCTGGGAAATCATTTGTGTTTTAGGTCACTAGAAATCACACCTGTTGGCTGAAACCTTATTACCTCAATCCCATGTTTAAATCTGGAATGTAAATATCAGCTAAATCTGTATCACAGTTTAAAAAATATTTCCTTGCTTTTTTGTGAACCATGTGACTACATATTTTCATTGAGATGAAATAATGAACTGTTGCTTATAATCATGAATATCATACAGATATTCCAAGAACTTAAACATATGGGATAAAAGATACTGTCATGTCTAACAAAGGTTTTGGGTCAGATCATCAGCACGATTAGCTTGAAGTTGTTTCATTGATCTTAAAGAAGTCTAACTGTATGATGATTTTTTACCCTACTCAGTTTTAATAGAGAAACACCAACTATTTTAAGGTGATCTGTAAATCATATTTCAAATCTGTTATAATTTAATTTACTCTTTCTTTCCCCTCACCCTTTCCTTTCCTTTTTTTTTTTTTTTTTTTTTTTAATTTAGCACTCCAAATATCCCTGGATATACTGGCAAGGTTCATTGGTTGGCAACTCATCCGGCAAATTCTAATCTTCCATCAACATCACCATCAATAATTTCACAAATGCATGGGTAAGTATGAGGGATATTTCTTAGCATGTTCAGAAAGGTTACAAGGAAAATCCTAATTGCATTTATTTAACTAAAGAACAATTAAATGTTGAGTGTTACTTTTCCTTGGCTTAAAAATATATAGAACAGTTTGTGCTGGATCCCACAACATTGTTGTGGTGGTCATCTGAAATTATCTTGAGATTTTTTTTAGTTTTTGGAATGTCATAGGGTGCATATTAGAAAGGTACCTTAGGTAGATAATGATTTCTGAATGTTTCTGCACTGTGGGAACATTATGGAATGCTTCTGCATTAGGGAATATTTTCCCTAGCTAAGATGATTAAGTCATGGCTTCAGTAAACTCTATTTTTGGTTGATCTATTTACATTTTGAAAGAAGACCAAAATTAAACTTTTTAAAATGTGGTATTGCACTTCCAATATGGTGTTGGCAGATTCTCATGAAATGGGCATTTGCTGTTTCTTGCTCTTCCATACAACACCTGTTAAAACTACGGGTCACATTTCTGAAATATGTATGTGATGCTTTAAACAGAACTGGACTGTTCAGAACACCTGAAAAACTCTATTACTTTATTTAATACAAAGAGTCTGACATAGGCATGGGTCCAATCTAGCCTTTCTTCCAGTGTCTGAACTATTAGTAACTACTTGTTTCCCCTTTCTCCTTTATGATTTTCTACTTTCTCTTTAGTTTCTGATCTATTATTTTCCAGAATGATCTAGGACATGGTGACACTATCCAAGTTTCCACATAGTCCTTATAAATTTATCTTCAATTAAACATTTTAATAGTCCCTTGGGATTCTGTCCACAACACATTTAAATTGTTTTTTCGGTAGTAACAGTGCTAAGTGCCCAGAAAAGACATGAGAAGCTTTAGGGAGCTTCCTGACTTCTGAAGAAATCAACGTCAACAGTTTCATCACTGTGCAAAATGCACTGACTTCCATTTCTGCTGTCTACCAGCTATTCACTTCTGCTCATTTTCTCCTGTGGTTAGCCCTAGAAAATAGGCAGTCAGCTGTAGTCAGTTTACTGTTGACAGGGAATGAAAATATGCAACAGTCTCAAGGCTGTATAACCCAATAAAACCAAGCTCAGATTGATGCAAGACTAACTTGCTTTTAAATGTCAGACAAATAAAAAAGCAAAGGCATCTTAGCAAAGATCATTTAAAGGCTTCAGACAGATACCAAATTTCAAAAGCAAAAAGACAGATGCCAGTGTGATTTAAGAAAAGAAAACACATCTGTTACTTCATTTTACTTTCTACAGGTGTTACTGTGAGTGTATTTCATAGAGAATAAATTTTGTTAGTTTCTAGTGGAGAGGAAGAGTAGAGTTTCTTTTCTGTGCTAGTAGAGTCTTTCTAGAATCGGGACAGAATCCTCTGGTCTTTTGAAGATGGGTATATAGTAAACAGACAGCAAGCCTAATCACACTTAAAAACTGACAACAAAGTTTCTCCATTCTTTTTCTGAGTTGAGTGGTACCTTCCCATGAGATTAGAACCTCCGGCTGCAACACTGTAAGAGATAATTTCTTACCTTCTCTGTGGCTACTTACATGTTAAGGTAGTGTTCACTGTCTTAAGAGGGAAGATTATAGCCCTCTTTGATACTTCTATGAATTACAGGTCCCCTGCCCACTCCCAACATTAGTGATGCCTGTAAAAGACAAGTGCTCAACAATTGATTTCTTACTTTTGTAATATAAAGGACAAAATTTCTGTTGATTTCAGTGGTCACAAGTCAAGCTAGGCTGTAGTCAAGAAGAGAGGTTATTTCTGAAATGCGGACTCAAACTACTCTGATTCATCTCCATATGCTTTTCTTGTGGGATGACATCTCATTCGTACTGTTTTTAAAATGGTGATCTATTTTTTTTTTCTTTTTGATAATTTTCAAGCCATGGCTGTAATAATCTCTCAGAAAGTAACAAGTGTTTACACGTGGTAAATATTTTAGAGCCATTTTTTTGACATGTCCACAATATATGAAGACAATTATGGGTGACAGAGAGGGTCACTCTTCTACTGCTGACAGGTCTTGTACATGTTTTGTTGAGAACTAACATCAATACCAGGTAGACCAAAGAGCATGCAGCCACTTCTATGCTGTATTTCCTTTGCATGGACCTTCCACAGCATGTGGAGCAAGACTCTTTGTAGTATTTTTAAGCATTCTAAACTCACTAGAGTTGTGTATGTTATAGAACAGCAGAAATATTGTTTCTTCATTTTTGAATATGAATAGCTTTTTTGTACATCAAGTTTTGTTGCTATGTTGTGTTTTTAATTCTAGGTAATCCCAAGTTGAAGTTGGAAAATTAAGTAGTAAAGTTCTCTGGTACAGTTTAGTTTTGACATCAATGTTAACTCTTGCAGAGAAGGGAACATTTGATGTGCATCTCTAGTTGCACGACAATGCCTTGGAATTACAATAGTTAATACAAGATGGTGCTGGATTTCATTGGATTTTAGACAAAAGAGTTACATACTTTTAGCAGGATGTTTTGGAGTCTTCAAGAGGAATCCTTAGGTCAAAAGGCAATGTGTTTTTTATTTGAAGAGTTGGTGAACACAAGATTCTGTGGTGAGTTCTGTGTCAGACCTACTTTTGATTTGAGGCTTTTCAGCTGAGGTGTTACACTATGTAAGACTGCAGGTATAAGATTATTGTTAGTGCATCTTCCTGTAAAGATTTTGAAGTGTATCAGAAGATCAGAGTTAATTGTTTGCTTGCATACAGTCCCCAGCATATTTTCTAAACCCCACCTCAGTATGCTGTATCACAGCGACTGGGCGTTTAGAGCAGGATTGGCATGGTGCTAACAAAGTGTTTTTTCAAGGTTTGAAAACCAAACCTCCAACGTCACCAGGGCTAGCCCTGCAGAAGCTGTAGGGCCTTATGTGCCTGAATGCGTTTGGTGTACTCATAGCCTTTTGCCACATGGTGCATATATTAGTTGTGAAGGACTCTGCACTCAAGAAAGGCTGAAAAGAGGCAAAAGGATTTTTGTAATATCCTTCTTACAGTTCCTGTAGGGACCTGCCTTTCAGTGCATCACAAAAAGTTTTAAAACTCTTGGGAAGATTTCTCACCACTGTTCTTAAGGAGACTGATTCCAAGAATATAGGATATTGCAGATTGTTAATACTTTCTGACACAAATGGACATGTCTTTAGCAGTGAGAGGGAAGAAGAGGGAAAGTTTAGCAACATGAGAACTTGTTTTAAAGCCTTTTATTTCTCTTTTTGTACTTGCAGATATATAGCAAAACATGGAAGATCATCTCAGTATAATCACCAGGGACCTTTTTCTCAGATGGTAACTCCAGTTAGTCCTCAGAATCCTTTCAACAAGATTCAGAGAAAATGTTACAGTTTAAAAAGGGTCAATCATTTTTACCTGCCTAACCAAGCCTTAGTGTCTGATAGCAAGGAAGATGGAGATGTGTGGATATTTTAAATAAAGAACAAAAATAACATACAAATGGGTGTTTGTGGTAGTCTTATTACATCGTTGTCAGATATGTGACCTCCTACCACTGACAGTTAAAACTGTATTAAAAACAAGAGGAGTTATAAGTCAAAGGCTTGAAACTTCTCTCTATACTAGGTTGCCTTCCGAACTAAGGTAGAATATGATGGTATAAAAGTTCTATCCATTGGCATATATATATGGATATATATATGCATAGAAACACATGTAATCACACCTATGTAAATGTATTATTAACTAGTAAATCATAACAGAGCAGCAGTCCCTCTCACCAGACTGTATCTGGCAAAGATGGTTAAATATTACAGAGTGGCATTTTAACCTTTTTATGTGCTAACTCTGTGTATAGTAGTAACTAAAAGGAGCCAGGTTATGTTTTCTGGTCTGGAGGCTAATTAATTCTGTGCATCTCACATCTGTGCTTAAATTCTTATGCTAAAATTGAAAGTAATTAAATAGGGAGGGTGGAGTAACAGTGTTCAAGCCTCTGTCGTGGTACTGTTTTATTTTCTGGTGTTGGTGTAGGCAGGACGAGGGAGTTGCATTCCTGAGAAAGAGAAGACCAAATGCCACGTTGTTGGTCAGGAAGTTCTACTGTGCTCCATGGGTCAGAATATTCTGAACAGTTTATTGTAATTTGGACAGCCTCTCTCCTGAGGTCTTTGTTGAGCTGTATTACCCAAATCATCTATATTGCTATTCATTTACCTGCTTGTGGGCTTATGATGGACATGTGTGTAACACATTTGTAAGAAACAGCCCAGTTAAGGACTTTCAGCGAATGACTATAACATGTATCTATGGCCAAAAGCCTTTTCAAGAGAAGAATGAAGACTTCACTGGGAATACTGAAAGGTAAGGGGGGAATATAAACCACAGAGCCAGAAAAAAAGCAAATCATCAGAAAAGAACATCCATCAACAAAAAGATTAGATCCTTGGCAACAACTACCAAGCATCCAAATATCTAATATTGCTGTGCAAATCTCAATCATAAAGGATATACAAACTCCAAGGGAAAGGAAGCTGACAGCTAAGCAAGGAAAGCACTGACCCTAAAGTAAACAATTTTTCCTAGTAAGACAGCAGCAGATTGCTTATCCCAAAGTAGAGCAGAAAGACTCCAGTTCTTAAAGTGTCTGACCCAACACAGAAACTGTCACTTCTGGTTGCCTGTATTTTCATTGTACAAAAGTCACAGATACCAGATTATTTTAAAGAGAGGCTCTCATCCAACCAATTTCTCTATATGCATTATATTAGAATTTTATATATGCATGCAGAATTAAGACGTGTGTACAGGAAGGATGCATTCTGCCTTTGCCTTTTAAGCCTGTGCATTTTGGAGTTGCACATTTATGTAAGCTGGTGAGCATTTTAGATAAAAACATAGTCTCTTTTGCAAATTTGGCATATTGAAATTACCTGGTACTACATAAAAAAATATTTGCAATTTTTTTTTACTGGATACAAAGATTACACTGTTATGTGCTTGAGAAGGACTCAAATATTTCAGGCTCCCAACTCAGCAGTGCAGGGGGAATGATCTGGCTCTGGCTAAGAATCTAGGAACTGTCTTTGTGCAGTGCAATGCAGCATCACAGGCTGTATCTTGAACAGAAACTTAAATTTCATTCAAACGAGCAGATGAAAACTGATTACATTTTAAGCCAGCAGTGGGCTGAGAACGTTGACTGCAAAGAGATGCCATCGCTTGAGTAAGTTCAGATTGGATGCTTTGTATAAAAACATTTTACACATGGAATAATTAAGGCACAATAATCTAAGGAGATAGGAACTGCATTTAAAAGGGACAGGTTATCATCAAGATAACTCAGTGTAGTTTTCTCTGACCTTACAGATTGCGTAAGAGTCAGAATCTCTACATCTAATGAATGAAGAGAAAAAAAAAGATTTACATTTCTCCATACTGCTAGAGGAAATTTCTTTTAAAAATAAACAGAGGGGAGAAAAGGCATTTTCAAAAGTCAAGAAGCCAGTTCCTCATTACTTTCAGTTTCTGTGAGGCTTGAACAAAGAGCAGTAAGCTCTTGTGCTTAAACAGCAAATGGAAGGGAAATGCTTGCATCCGAGATATAAAGCTCCTCATTCCACTTAAATTAAATCAATTAAATCCATAGTATGCATGTTTTCAAATAGTTTTTCCCATTAATAAGTTCTTATGATTTTAACAAATCTGTATTTTTAATGCTAAAATTATGAGACAGTATTCCTTGAAATCCAAAGGAGGGAAAAATTTTAAGTATTGAAACAAAATCTTACAAGGGTAGTAGTTAGAAAAGAGCTATGTGACACATTCAGTACAAGGCCTACTCCTGCTTTGGCTACACTGTTGGCTACAGTGGCATCATTCCTGTTAGTGAAGACAGATGGGGGCTCTTGACATCATGTCAATCCTGTAAAGAGCACCACTTGATTTAATCTGGACCCTTCTAAGGTCATGTGATATATGGTAGGATGTACTAGCTATTATTATTTTTAAGCTTCCTGACTTCTTTCTCACCTGGTGTTTTGGCACATGGTATAAAGTAAATGAAAGAAAACTGCTATAAAAGAATCTCACTTTTTTCTTCAACTGGAAACGAAAGAAGAAACACTTTAGTTCATGGGGTAACTTCTGTCTTGTATCAGTCAAACACTACTGAATCACAGATGCTGTCAATCTATACATGGTCTCAATAAAGCAGACAAATTTCAAGTCACTGGAAATCTTTTTTGGATCTGTTCCTTTGAGTTATTGCATTGACATGTAGATGAACAGGAACAGAGGTGACTTCCACTCTGCAGTAAAACCACTGAAAAACAATGCTGCTGCGAGAGAAATGGTTTCCTGGGTAGAATTTATTTGGCTTGCCTTCTACAGTCTTCGAAAGACTTGCATTGGTGTAGTCTTCTAAAGCAGATCACTTACACCACACAAAAATACTCTACATCTGCAGCTTGTTTCACAGAATTTCTCTTCGTATCAAGGTTTGGGAGGTTTGGAAGGGAATTGATTTGAGATAATCTTGTGTAAAGTAGTAGTTAGCATAGTGACTGTGCTTTTTATAGTATGTCTTCCATATGCACAGTAAATAAACTTGTCAAACCGTTCTATTGCTTATTTATTTCTAATATGTCTGTATGTTTTGTACAAGCATAGCTATTAAAAGCAGTCAAATATATTTTTGCATTATAGTAAGTGGAGTAATAAAAAATAGCATTTTAATGTGAAAAAATAGGCTACATAAAACAATTATCCTAACTCTAACTAAAGTTTATATTCTCTTTAGGTTAGATTCTTTCCCCTTTTGCTCCTTTCCAGTTGAGGAGCAGAAGTACGCATTTTTAAAAGATTGTTTTCCTTTGGTTTGTTTGCTATTTTATTCCTAATGCTTCTCATCTGCCATCTAGTAAAGGTCATAGAAATATTAATGTACTTCCAAAGCAAAAGGACCAAAAAGCTTAGCTTTCAGCATAGCTTAGAGTATGGTGATGCAAATTGGAAAAAATCAGTGGCCTGTATCTTCTCACAGAATTATTTAGTAATGAATATACCAACTGAAAGAGAAATGTCTGTTGGGTAAACAATACACACAAACAACTTCATGGTAGGAAAATACTATGATGTAAAAGGCTGTGGTGATCCTAGCCTGAAATCTTGAAAATGACTGGAGAAAATAGGTACTTGTAGAGGAGACAGAAAGAAAAAGCCTGTAATAACTGCAAAGTTTGTTTTGTTTCATTGTAGATGGAAGCATTTTTCATTTAATAAAATGCAATTAAAAACAGAATAACATCATAAATATGTAAATATTTATAAATAAAAATTTGTGCTGCTTTAAGGAATTGTTTAAGATAGAGTATGATGTACTTGGAGCAGAGGATAAAACATTTAAGCGGAGTATTCCCTTCCACTTGTGGCTAAAAGCCACTTGTCTGAAGTCTGAGCATCTCTCAGCCTCTGCCATCTTTTCTCTCCCTCAGCCATTGCCAGGCTAAGGGACCTTGTCTAAAGCATTAGGACTGAGTTTTCGCTAAAGTGAAAGAAGATCAAACAATGGTGTGAAGTATATTTGGAGTGCACGTCCCAGATATATTTGCTTCCAAAATACTGACACATCCTATTCTGTGAAGCAGGACTCATCCATGTGCACTTAGAAAACATAGCTGCTGGTTTTGTAGTACAGACTGAGGACACTCCTTGTCTTGTGCATACTGTGACTACTTCTGCCCGTATACTGACAGTAAGAAGTCAAGACTGCACCTCATGTCTTCTCTGAGATCAGCCTGAGGAAATGTGTCTCAGCAAAGGCTGAGAAGGAAAATAACCGCCCAAATCATCCCTCATTCATTACGTTTGATTTTCATTATTTTCATTGGAGGTTTCTCAGAGGAACATCACTCAGGCCTAAGTGTAGTTGTCTATGGGACCTGACAAAAGCATTGTTGCTATTGTGTGCTCATTACTAAGCCTAGAAATGAGGATATGATGCAGTGAGCATACTAATTCCAGTAATAATCATACGTAGTATATTTATTACATGTATACATGCAGATCCTTGACGTCAAAGGCAGTTCCACTGACCAGTGGTTTCATTTGCCTTGGGAGCATCATTGACTCAACAACTGGATAACATCAGAGCGCTGCCAGTGGCATTCCTTTCAACATACCTTAGACTGCAAACTTCAAAAAGTGTCCTCTCTCTGCCACCATTAAAAAGATATTAATCAGGTTCCATCTTTAAATAAAAGGCTTTGTATGCCTCCCTGTTGCCATTCTCCGTGAAACAATTCTGTATGTGTAAATGATATGTAAAGTCATTAAGTTTGGATTTTGCCAGGAATTCCTTCAGCATTTTCACAGTTGGACTACAAAATGAAATTTCCAGGACTTTCTAATAAGGAGATAACACACACACAGTAAGAAGGAATTCAATAGAACCATTCACATGAATAAAATTACAT